ACGCTTGGATGAAAGTTATCTGGACCTGCTGATTTAAAAATGTCTAACTTTAATAGTTGCTGTTTAACATCCTCCTGAGACACTAGTGGAATGGAAAGAGTTATCATATGATTTGACTACATCATCTGTTTTCTTCCCAAATACCGAACAGAAATATTAATTGAACATCTGCTTTTTCTGCATTATTATTGATAATTTTACCATTTCCATCTAGTAATGGACCAATACCATTGTTAGGATTCTTTTTGTTCCTAATAAGCTTCTTTTTATTATCCTTAACTCTGCTAACCATAGATTTCTCCTTGTGTCCATTTCCTTCCCTTATCAATTTTCTCCAATTCCTAGCTTCTGATTTATATTCGTTACTATCAACATCCCCTTTCCATTTGTTTGAAATATTTAATTTTTTATTGCTGCCTTTTCTTCTCCTCTAATCCCCGGGTAGTTTTTTAACCAATTCAGCATTCTTCCTCAATTGTGAGATTGTGGCTTTTTGGGCATCTAGTAAAGTGTTCTTAAACAATTCCCAGCCTTTCCTTACCAGAGCAAATCTTCAATATAATGGGAACAGGGGCCCCCAGCTCAGTATTTCACACTCTACCAGATGACAGCATTGCAGAATGCTGGGTAGGAAGTAGGGGACATCCTGGTCAGGTACTAAAGGTACCAACCAATTGGGTTACCAGGGAAGATGGCATATGTCAATGCCAAGATACTGTAGAGATCTCCCTCAACAACCTACTAAATCTTTTTGGAAAGGCTCATGCAGCCTTTACAACTCAGAACTTCGCTGCAACTTGCACAGTGGGAGGTGTCCAATAAGGAAGGATCCAAAAGTGTCTGTGATAACTAAATAAGGGATGATTTACAGAAGAAAAGACACAGCTACTATGCACTTTGCCTTCCAGCCGAAGAGATCTCAAAAGATGATCATCCGCCCATCAGATCTCTTAGGCTTTGAACAGTCTCCTGGGGAAAATGGTGAAGACCCATCATTTTGAACATTTATTACTAGACTAGATAAAACTCTAGAAAATGTACAATAGGGTGCAGTCCTGCACCTGCCACAGATGGTGGGCTGTGTGGGATCTAATAATAGTGTTTCTCCAGCATTAACTTCACATTCTATGAGCAAGAATGGCCTATGCTTCCAAGATCTCAGAAACAAAACTAGATTTCCCTGTATGGCCCTTGTTGAGTTGGCACTGTTAGAAGACAGCTGAAGAAACTGAATGAGTTGATTCAAAGTCATAATGGTATCTGCTTCATAGGACCCCTTAATTTGGGTCACACTACTGCTCTGCACTATGAAATTGGATCAGACCCTAATATGCTAGCCTCACCAGAGGATTCTCTAGCTAATTATCATGAAGTAAGGTAGCAGTGTAACTAGGTACCTTTCAAGCTACAGATCCCCTGGCCTGGTTCCATAGTCACCCAATGTATCACCTAGGGGGATCAGAATTTTTGACCCTATCCTCATATTCTCTGTTGATATAATTATCTTTGTTAGACAATCTGAAGAACATAGAGACAGGCTAGAGTTAATGTCAGAAGAATCAGTGGAGCCCTGGCCTCTCACACTTTCTGCACTGCATCAAGTTTGTGTGTGTACCAGCAGCTGCTGGAAACAGGGGAGCCTGACTAACATGTGAGGGGAGCTTGACCCAGGCCAGGTGATGGTGGCCATAAAATAGAGTTCTGTATATCTTCAGCCCTGTTGTGTATGTGAACATGGTGTGTGCATGCATGTGTGTGTTGGTAAGCATGTATGTGTGGTGTGCACATGTGTATGTGCATGCCTGGCTGCTGTCCATGGCAGTGAGCATGTTAGTGAAGGCACCTTACTATAGGAGGTAGGGGAAAAGTTTATGAGCAGAGACTGATATTTTCATTATTTAGGGGAGTCATGTTCAGGTACTTCAGTAAGAAGATGCACCTCCTTTGTGCAGGGCACTAACCGGGACAAGTGTCCCCTGCCCTCTCTAGGGTCTAGCTCAGTGGTTTTCAAACTTTTTTTCTGGCGACCGAGTTGAAGAAAATTGTTGATGCCCGCATCCCAATGGAGCTGGGAATGAGGCGTTTGGGGTGTGGGAGGGGTTCAGGACTGGGGCAGAGGGTTGGGGTGCGGGGGTGAGGACTGCAGGGTGGAGCCAGGAATGAGGGGTTCAGGGTGTGGGAGGGGGTTCTGGGCTCGGGCAGGGGGTTGGGGTGCAGGAGGGGCTCAGGGCTCTGGGCTGGGGGGTGCAGGCTCTGGGCTGGGGCTGGGGATGAGGGGTTTGGGGTGCAGAAGGGGGCTCCGGGTTTGGGGGGGCTCAGGGCTAGGGCAAGGGGTTGGGGTGCAGGAAGGGATCAGGGCTCTGGGCTGGGGGTGCAGGCTCTGGGGTGGGGCCAGGGATGAGGGGTTTGGGGTGCAGGAAGGGGCTCCGGGTTTGGGGTGGGGCTCAGGACTGGGGCAGGGGATTGGGGCGTGGGGTTGGGGCATGGGCTTACCTCGGGTGGCTCCCAGTCAGCGGTACAGCAGGGGCTTCCTGCTTCTCCTGGCACTGCGGACCGCACTGTGGCCCAGAAGCAGCCAGCAGCAGGTCCGGCTCCTAGGTGGAGGCACGCAAGCCTCCCCCGGCTCCCATTTGACGGTGCTCGGGGCAGGGACAGCGCACGGAGCCCTGTGGCCCCCCACCTAGGAGCTGGCTGCAACCCAGTGCCTTACATTCCGTGACCCAGTTCTGGGTCACAACCCGCAGTTTGAAAACCACTGGTCTAGCTCACTCCTTGCACTCTGCTCCCCTGCTGAGAATTGACTATCTCAGAGATCAACAACATAGTGGGGCCTAAATTATCTCCCTCTGCTGGCTAGTCAAGGGGTCTCTCCAACAGCGTGGTGACAGCTTTGCTGGAGCTGAAACTGATCTGAACAGGATTAATCATCAAGAAGGGAAAAAGAGTCCAGAATAGTCAGAATCCCAGAGGCTAAAGGCAGCTGCAGCTCTCACTAGGCAGAGGAAGGACTGTGTGGCTAAAGCACAGGGCCAAGATTCTGTTGCAGACTCTGCAGCCCGAGCATGTCACCTCCTCTTTCTGAGCCTCAGTTTCCGCACCAAAATCTTCCCCAGCAGATGCCATATGCTGCCAGTGGGAACTCTGCTCTGCTACTTGTTTCAATCTTCTGTGTGTTCCCATCTGTCCCTTGTTCTGTCTCTCCTTCCTTCACCTCCTCCTCTGTCCAGCTCCAGTCTCTCCTCCTTTCCTATTCCCTCCTCTGTTTTCACAGGCACACAGCCTTCATTCTCTCATGATCACTGTCATTATTGATGACACTCAATCACTGCTCCCCCAGTGACATGGTGTCATATCAGAATCCTCCTCACAGGTCCCTCAACAGTCCCTTCCACTCACCCAGCTCTCACCTGAGGGTTATGACACAGCATACGGGAGAGACCCCAAGAACCCCATCAGCCAGGCCCCAGACCTCTCCTTTCTTCCCTTTTTCCAAGCTGAATGTTTCTCCTCTTTGGGAGGAAGTGGTCTGTATGAAATTCCCACAGTCAGAAGGGAAGCTTTATGCCATTTTAGCACATCCTGGATTCAGGGGCCACTTCAGTCCTACAGATTGCTCTAACTTGGTCTGGCTGCGCTCCCCTAGGTCCATTGAGCAGCCCAGAATAGCTGGAACATAGTGCACTCCAGCCGTATCCTCTCAGGCCCCTGTCCCAGAAACTAATAAGGAGGGATTTGAGGCCCATCCCACCAGGCCTTTGCCACCATATAATCCCCATCGCACAACGAGTATTCCCAGTGTAGAGGTCCAGTGGCTTTCCCCCAGGCTGCCTGAGCCCCCCTGCAGGCTCCGGCCACAGCAAGTGCCCAGCAATGTGCTGACGCAGCCGCCCTTTATCTACCCTGTCCCAAGGGAGGGAACCCCTGCTTATTTCCATCTCTCCCAACACTAGGGAAAATTCACAGCAACAATTTTGATGCCCTGCTCTTCCCCAAAGTTTCCTCTGCAGCCCACTTAATGAGAGGCCTTGTTTCAGAGGAAAACTCCTCAATGTCAGAATGCAGAAGGTAGAGGAGGGGAGGTATTGGGCACATGGCCAGAGCCTGGGCAGGAGGAGGCAACTTAGCCTGACAGAAGTGATTAGTTGAGGGGAGACAGACAGACCCCTGGCACTGGAAGGGGCAAAAACAGTGTCCAAGCCATGGCTGAGGAGGAGAAGAGGCAGATGATCTGCAATGGGAATGAAGAGACATTTTTGATGGGGCCATAAAAAAGAGTTAGGCTGTTATGGGTTTGCCACAATCATGCTGCACCATGTCTCCTCTTCTTCCAATGTCTCTTGCTATCCCAAGGTTGGTCCTTTTGTATTCTCCCTCTCTGCCACTACGAAGGCTCCCATGGCTTCAATATCCACCTCTACACCAAGGAATCCCCTAGGCCCTCTCCCCTCCATCTTGTTTCTACCCCAGCTGCTCCTCTGGGTCTGTTTAAACAAGAGTTTCAAATCCAGTTTTAACATATAACACTATTGTACATGCTAGTCTAGACACTCCCCTGGCCTTTGTTCCAAGACACAAGGAGCTGTGATTTGCCCAAGGGCTCAGTCGCAAACTGTAGCCCAGATCTCCCCTTCAACTATCCTCCAGGATGTTCTGCTGACAACTCAAAGCAGAGCCTTCTGGTTCCCCTCCTTCCTGTGCCATGTCAGCCCCAGTCATCCCTTTGACTCCTCTACTCTTACCTCCCAGGTCCTGTTTTCTCCTTTCTTCCTCTCCAGTGACCACCTTGCTGAGCCCCTTCTCATCCTTCGTGGTCTCTTGCCATCAGAACTGTGACTTTCTCTGGCCTCCCTGCCTCACGCTGTCCAAGTCTGTCCCAATATGGCTACTAACCCCCCAACCTATCCCTCCTCCATGGGATGCAGATTTGCAAGTCTTTGAAGTACCTGCACCAAGACAATCTGCAGGAAGGAGTCTGACATGCATGCAGCAGGATCTCTTACCGTTTTCAGGGTGCTCCATCTCCCCAATACTACCGTCGGGTGTGGTGCGCTCATAATGATCCTCAGGCAGAGCTAGTGGCCCAATTCGGGGCCCTGATGATGACTTGCTGCTAGGAGTCTCTGACTCTTCTAGCCCGCTGTCATAGTAACTATGTTGTGAGGGGTCCTGCAAGTCCTGTGCCTGATTAGCTGCAGAGAATGTCACTCGGCGATGAGGTAACTGCAAAGAAAAAAAGAAAAAAGATAAGAGGTGATACCAGCCACCCACAGGGAGTGATCAGGACTGGTTATGAAACCTGATCTCCCCAGCAGAGCACCGAGGACAAAGAATCACAGCTTTCTCTTCACCCTAAGCCCTGTCAACTGAAAAAATCTCTCATTTCATGAACCCCCAATGGACAACATCTCCAACCTCAGAGTAACCTTACCCCCTCCCAACAACAAGTGTCACCTCCCCTCATCTCAGGTGTCTCCCCTTGACTGACACCATCTCTCACCTCAGGGGTCTTTCCAGTTCTCACCAAAGAAATTTGCCCCCCCCAACAAACATCATCTCTCACCTCAGAGTCCACCCTCCAATTTACACCATCTCTCTAACTTCAGAAACACCCCATCACCCAACAGACATCATCTCCTATTTCAGAGCTCCATGGAATCACCCCCCATTCTCCCTTACTACCATATCACCTCAGAGAACCCCCAATTGACATAATCTCTTACCTCAGAATGCTTCCAATGTTAGCAGTCCCCCAGCTAACATCATCTCTGATCTCACGGTCCCCCACAGGAATTACATTACACCAACTCTCATCTCAGAGCCAATTGCTTCCACAACAGACACAATCTCCAACTCAGAGGAACCCCAGCAGAGTTCCGCAAAACAGGGTCCCAGAACTGCCTGATCTTTGACTACCCAGCTGACATAATCTCACACCTCAGAGTCCCATTCACAACTGACACCACCTCTAACCTCAGAGGTCTCCCCTCGACTAAAACCATCTCTCATCTCAGAGACCCCGATTGACATAGACTCATAGAGTTTAAGACCAGAAAGGACTATCATGATCATATAGTCTGACCTCCTTCACTTCATAGGCCACAGAACCTCACCCACCCACTCCTGTGATAGGACCATAATCTCTGGAAGTCCTCAAATCTTAATTTAAAGACTTCAAGTGACAGAGAATCCATCATTTACTCTACTTCAAACCTGCAAGTTAAGGGTGCCCTATGATACAAGGAAGGCAAAAAAAAAAACAACCCAGGGTCTCTGCCAGTCTGACCTAGGGAAACACTCCTTCCTGACCTCAAATATGAGGATCAGTTAGACTCTGAGTGTGTGGATGCAACCCACCAGCCAGACACCTGGGAAAGAATTCTTTATAGTAACTCAGAGCCCTCCCCAGTGTCCCAATTCCGGATGTTGGAAATATTTACTAATCTCTCACCTCAAACCCCACTGACACCAACACTCACCTCAGAGTCCCCCAACTGATACCAATTCTTACTTCAGTGCAAGCCCCACTATTGATACCTCTTACCTTAGAGCAACCCTGCGATTAATACCAACCCTCACCTCAGTGCAGTCCTCCCGATACCAACACTCAAATCAGAGGGCACCAGTTCTCACCTCAACACAATCCCTTTGATTGATTCTAACTCTCACCTCAGTGCAACCCCCAGCTGACACCAACTCTCACCTCAGAGTAACCCCCCAATTTATACCAACATTCACATCAGAGGGCGCAGACTGATACGACCTCTCACCTCAGCACAATCACCTTGATTGATTCAAACTATCACATCAGTGCAATTCCCCCACACCCCAATCGATACCAACTCTAACCTCAGAACTACCCCCTGATTGTTAGCAACTGTCACCTGAGAGAAATCCCAGGATTTATACCAACTCTGACCTTGGAGCAACTTCCCAATTAATACCAACTCTCAACTCAGAGAAACCTCTCTCATTTATCCCACCCCCCTTCAGTGCAACCCCACATTTGACATTAACTCTCATCTTAAGAGAACCTCCCCCACACCGATACTAACTCTGACCTCAGAGCAACCCTTCTGATTTACACCACCTCTCACCTTACAGCAGGCCCCTGATTGACACCAACTTTCATTTCAGAGCAACCCTCCGATTGATATTAACTCTCATCTCAGAAAAACCACACCAGATTGATACCAACTCTCATCCCAGCACAACCCCCAATGAGTCAAACTCTCACTTCATTGATTGTATACCAGTTCTCCTTGATTGATACCAGTTCTCCCCACAGTTGACAGGAACTCTGATCACTGAGCAACCTCTATAATTGATACCAACAATCACCTCAGAGAACACACACCCAGCTGACATCAACTATCACACCAGAGTAACACACAATCCCAATTGGTACCAACTCTCACCTCAGATTAACCCCAACTGACACCAACTCTCAGCTCAGAGCAATCCCCGGATCATTAAAACTATCACCTCAGCACAACCTCCCACCAATACAAAAAATCTCACAGCAAAGTGCCCCCCCCATTGATACCACCTCTCACGTCAATACAACCCCCTTGATTGATACCAACTTTCCCCTCAACACAACCCCCAATCAATATCAGCTCTTACCACAGGGCAACCTCCTGAATGATACCAATTCACAATTCAGAGCAACCCCCTGCAATTTATACCAACTCTTTCCTCAGAGCAACCCCCCGATTGTCACCAACTCTCACCTCAGCGCAACCTCGTCCCCATTGATTCCAACTCTGATCTCAGTGTAACCCCAGCCACTGATACCAATTCTTACTTCAGAGTGCTCCTCCCGATTGATAACACCTGTCACCTAAGCACACCACCCTCATTCATACCAAATCTCACGTCATTGCAACCCCCACTCCGATCTATACCAGCTCTCACCTCAGAATACCCGCCCTGATTGACACCAACTCTCAATTTAGCGCAACTCTGCCACCGACACATAGGCCTTGTCTACACTACTAAGTTATGTCATCAAAACTACTGTTTGTCGACTCAAACAGTGAATGTGTACACTGCAAGGCGACGCTTATCGGGGAAAATGCCTGGTTTTGGCGATAAAATACATCCACCCTCACAAGAAATTTACGTCTTTTTCCTCTACAATTTTGTTGACAAAGTGCAAGTGTAGACACCACCCTTCATTTCATCGCTTTAATTGGCCTTCAGGCGGTGTCCCACAATGCCCATCCTGACTGCTCTGGTCAGCAGTTTGAACTCCACCGCCCTGCAGCCAGATAAACAACCATCCGCCCCTCCCCCTTAGAAGCCCTGGGAATTTTTGAAATTCCATTTCCTGTTTGCTCAGTGTGGAGAGGTCGCATCGCATCTTCCCAGGTGACCATGGTGGGTTATTGCAGCAAACGCTTGGACCACTGCAGAGCTGTTGGATCTGCTCCGTATATGGGGAGAGGAGGCTATGCAGTCCCAGCTGTGCTTGAGCTGTAGGAATTAGGATACCTACGGGCAGATATCTTGAGGCTTGTGCGAAAAGGGCTATGATCTGGACATGCTGCAGTCCAGAACGAAGATAAAGGAGCTGAGGCAGTCGTACCATAAGGCGAGGGAGGCAAACCATCGCTCAGGTGCTTCACCTAAGACCTGCTGGTTCTATAAGGAGCTGGATGCTATCCTTGGTGGTGACCCCACCTCGATTGCCAACAGCTCCGTGGATACATCGGAGGGCACGGAGGCGACGGAAAGAGGACCTTCCCCAGAGAATGAAGTTATTGATGAAGAGGTGGAGTTAAATGAGGATGTGCAGCTCCCGGCGGGGTCGCCCGGTGGGGCAGGCAGCCAGGAACTGTTCTCCACTCCAGAGGTTTCTAGCCAGTCTCAGCAGTTGCTCTCCAGCAAGCAAGAAGCAGGAGATGAGACTCCTGGTAAGTGGTTGTGGCTTGTGTAGTGTGGAGGTGGGTTCATAGAAGAAATGTGGGAGGCTGGCTGTGTTTCTGTGAACTGGACATTACCCTGTGTAGCTAATCAGTACGGTGGAACAAGATGCTGATGCACGCTGAGATCTCACGGGAATCCTCCAGAGAGATCTTCAGAAAAGTTTCCTGGAGGTACTCAGTAATCCACTGCCAAAGGTTCCGTGGCAGAGCAGCTTTGTTCCTTCCCCCATTGTAGGAAACTTTCCAGGGCCATTCAGCAATCACTTGTGCAGGGACCAAAGTGGCACATAGGCAAGCAGCATAGGGAGCCACAAGCATGGAGTAGATGTGCCCTCGTTTCCCTGCTTACCCTTAGCAGTGAGATATCTGCTAGAATTACACCTGCCTGTGGAAAAGTGTGGGAGAATTTTAGAATTTGTTCCCTAGAATGCTGCACCACAACCCTTGCAAAGAGTGTGTGCTCTTTTCCCCTTGTGAAGCGCCCCATCCTCCCCCTCCCCCCGCCAACACTCACCATGCTTTGCGTGTTTGCAGAGATGTGTGCCTGGCTAGGGTCAGTGAGAAAGTGATGGCAATGTTGCAAAAGGTATATTTAACAGAAATGTTTCAGTGCTATGTGTGAATTTAACAATCCCGCTTCTGTGCATTGTCCCCTGTGCTTCACCAGATGTGGCCTTCAGGAACACCCAACACATCTCGGCTGAGCGTCTCCACCAGATAAGAATGCACCCAAGACACAGCAAAGAAGACATGTTCTGTGAGGTCCTGCAGTGCTCCAATGCAGAAAAAAGCTGAACAACAGGACAGAAAAGAGAATCACGCATTTGTTAAGGACACTACTGAGCAGATGATTAAAGTAATGGAGGAGCAAACACAAATGCTGAAGTCCTTAATAATGCGGACTGAGCAGATTAGTGCTCAACCCCCACTGCAGCACATTCAGAACTCTTTTCCATGCTCCCCACCCCAAACTCTGCCAGAATATTCCTTTCCACCTTCCAGAACTTCTCGGTTTCCCCTTCACTCCATCCTCTGGGACAACTTTCACAGCGATAGCTGGACCTACACATAGCTGTGAAAGTCTGCCCTTCCCTGGTTCCTCCTTTCCCACCAAGTATATGTGTGTTTGTGTGTGTGGTTTCTTGTGCAATAAAAGCAAACTTTTATAATGGTAAATCATCTTTATTTTTTTTTCTACAAGGTGAGATTGCAGGCATTGCCAATACATGCACAGGCATTTTAATCACTTTATTACAGGAATATAAGGCCCCAAATGTCACCATTGCCCCCTAG